GAGTATCTGGGGAGCTGGAAGATGAGAACTGGCGACTTTGTAGTACAGCTTTAGTACGCGGAGTAGCTAGGGAGCTGGAAGATGAGAACTGGCGAGTTGTACAACTTTAGTACGCGGAGCAAGCCGTGGAGCTGGAAGTTGGCTGGAAGCTGAGAACTGGCGACTTTGTAGTACAACTTTACTACGCGGTTGAGTCGTCTCTCCTCTGTATTTTGCAAAATGCATGAACAACGTTTTTTCCTGCGAGACAGTTGCCTGAATCAGCCTGCCACACGCACATTTCCTATAGGTTTATTCTTTTGGAAACTTCCGCCGCCGGCTTGCCCGGGAACTACTTGTAAACCTAAGCACTTTTGAAGTGTTTGTTTATGTATTTTTCGCAAGCAGTGTGGACACACTTAGGGGTTCTTTGCGCTTAGATCGCTGGGGCGCGCGGACGTCAACGGCTAATTCACTGCTATTTACAGTACACTCAAGCCTCTCGAAATCGTCGACGTGCGCTTCCACTGCCCAGGCTCGCGAAATCTGGGGGGCCCGCGGTGGGTGCTTCTAGCGACTGCGCTCTCGTTGTGGCGCCGTGCGCATTTTCGCACATGGTGGTGACTTTTCGTGGCAAGCGCAAGGGAAACCTCGTGATTTGGTGGCGCAAAGTCGACTTTTCGTGACAGGCAAGGGATCGGAGCGGTTTTGCTTCGAAGCGCAGATTTCGTTGCAGGCGCAACACTTTGGACATGATTTCGTGACAGGTGGGGGAACCGTGACTCTTGAACATGTATTTCGTGACAGGCGCAGCACTTTGTGAACCTCAAGTGCAGATTTCGTGACAGGCGTAGCGCTTTGTGAACTTCGACGCGCAGATTTATTGGCAGGCGCAGCGCTTTGTGAAGCTCGAAGGTGCAGATTTCCAAGCAGGTGCAGCACTTCGTGAACCGAAGCGCCGATTTCGTGGCAGGCGCAGCGCTTTGTGACTCTCGAAGCGCAGATTTCGTGAGAGGCGCAGCGCTTTGTGAGCCTCCAAGATTTAGTGGCAGGCGCAGCGCTTTGTGAACTTCGAAGCGCAGACGTCGTGGCAGGCGCAGCACTTTGTGAACCTCGACGCACAGATTTCGTGGCAGGCACAGCACTTCGTGAACCTCGACGCGCAAAGTTTGTGAGAGGCGCAGCGCTTTGTGAACCTCGAGGCGCAGGCGCAGCACTTTGTCAACCTCGACGTGCAGATTTCGCACAGGCACAGCGCTTTGTGAACCTTGACGCGCAGAGTTCGTGACAGGCAAAGCACTTTGTGAGTCTCGATGTGCAGATTTCGTGGCAGGCGCAGCGCTTTCGTGAACCTCGAAGTGCGAGTTTCCTGGCAGGAAAGCGCTCAGGCTCACTCAGAGTCACTCCTCACTCACATTCACATTCACACTCACCCTCACCTTCACTCTCAATCTCACTCACTCACTCACTCACTCACTCACTCACTCTCTCACTCTCTCACTCACTCACTCACTCACTCACTCACTATCTCCCTCCCTCGCTCTCTCGCTCTCTCACGCTCTCTCACTCTCTCTCACTCTCTCTCTCTCTCACTCTCACACTCTCTCACTCACTCACTCACTCACTCACTCTCTCTCTCTCTCTCACTCACACACTCACACACGCACACACTTAGGTGGATGCTCGCAAGAGCGAAATCAGTGGTGGTCTCTCGGTGCATTAGCCCTTTAAATGAATACGTAGCACTTGACTTGATTCAACAGCATGGAGTGAAGAGTCCGCTCACTTGAATGTTTCAACAGGATGCATTAGCCCTTTAATGCATTAAAAACTGCAGGCACGTGACTTCCGGCGTCCGGAGTCATATCACGACCGAACTATCACTGTCTTCGTTGGATATCGCCCACAGGTTCCAGCTCCACTGAGTTGCTGAAGAAGCCAGGGTGAATCAAGGTCTGAATGGCAACATTGGGAAAGAAAGTCCTGGTTGAAGGCGATGAAGGTTGTCCACATAATACCGGTAGTGGATGAAATAGATCTGAGTGTGGTCTGTGAATGATGTATAGTTGATGCCAGGAGTGCTCGATATGAGGGCGATGGCGACATTGCAAAGCGCAGGTGAGAGTTGGGATCCAATCCAGGCCCCCCGTATTTGCTGAAAGTACATCGCGCACGCTCGGAAAATGCATGCGTCAAGCGCTAGTGCCACAATAGTAGTGATGTCGTTGATGTCGTCGTCTTGTGGTGTGAGATCAAAAGCAAGAGATTAGTAGTGTCACAGGTAAGCTCTGAGCCATCGAGAATCAATCTATTTGGGGTTGCAGGTGAACTCGATGAGGGGTATACCGTGGATCCTGGGATAAGGTCTGGAGGGTGATATTCGGGTGGGGTTCGAAAGATTTCATCCAGCGGTGGCGGATTTGGATGGGAGTCGGTAAAAAGTTTGTGGAGGGTCATAATGTTACTGATAGAGAGTGAGTGGGTAGGAGAACGGGGAACCAAGTTGCCGGGGGAAAAACCACCGGGATTCGTGCAGCAGCATCCTTTTTCGCGCGCGCTGCGGGAAGAGCTGAGTCGCGGGCAAGTCACTGAACATTCCTGCGCGCTGACGTTGCCAAGCCCCGTAGATGTGGAATCTGGCCATGTCGAAGAGACCTGCGGAGTCCATTCTGGCGCTAAGGTGGGCGCAGATGGCCCCTGCGTGTAGGTGGGTGGGGTAGACCAAGGGAGCGCCCCTTGGGATGTAGATGGCTCGTCAGGTGTTCGCCATGGATCATGGTCCGGGTCATAGTTCGGTAAGAGGCGAACGCCACGAGTGGCCCATATGTATGCTGCGTGTGCTGAATGTGTTGTTGTAGCTGCTGTCCGGCGAGATGCGTCGTCTGCTGAACTTGGGTGTGGGTGTACACGGCGTGAGTATGTTGCTGGGCGCTGGGTGGGCGCTGGGGGGTTGTGTGTTGGAATGGGGCGTGGGATGGGTGCAGCCAGTGAGGATGGGCGCCAACCAAAAAAAAAGTCAGCGGCCCTGGTGGTGCGAGGAGCGTGGGACGGTTCGGCTGATGGCTGTGGGGCTCTCGGAAGTGTGGCGGTGGGCGGCGTCAAGGGTGGTACGGGCGCAGGTGATGCCGGTGGCCCGTGTGTTGGAGAGCTTGAGACAAGGGTGGGGCCGCGTGGCCACTATGGGCCGTAGGGTTCGGCGTGTCATAGGATTGCAGCAAGGTAGTGGGCATATGGATAGTTGCGGTACGTGGTACGAGACCAGGAACGTTCGAGACCTGGTAGGGTCGGCGCGTGTGGAGGTCAGTGGACGGTGGTTGCATGTTTGGGGTGTTGGAGAAGGCCGTATTGGGCCTGTGGGCCGATGTGTCCATTGGTAGCTGGGTGGCGGGGGCTGATGGGAGTGCATGGCAGGCGGGCTGATTTGTTCCCGGATCCTGTTGGCTGGAGGGATCCGTGGTGTCTGGCTGGGCGGCGGAGTTCTCCATGATGAGGATAGTATCGGTCTGGATGCTGGTGGAAGTGTAAGAGACAACGCGGCCTTTGCCTTTGGCCTTGCTTTTGGGATAGAAAGGTTCCATGGCGCTGTAGCCATCCACTCGTGCGAGAGAGTCTGTGTAGTGCTCCGGGCGGGCGTGACGCCTGAGGTTGTTGATGTGATATTGAAGTGAGGAGGGGAGTTCTTGGGCGATGTGGTCGTGATTTAATCGCGGTTTCCCGAAGTTGGCCCTTCTCGTTGTTCCAATGCGAAAGTCCAAAATCGATTCTCAGCTATGGCAAAGCTGGTTATTTCCCGACAAGGCATGGGTTGGTGTGAGCAGTAGTGAAACATTGACCGAAGGTGAGACGTCAGGAAAAAGCACGAATTTCATGTACACAGGGATACGCCGTCAGGGGGATCCGTAGGCATCATCATACGTAGGTCATTGATCTGCGGGTTGCGGTATGGCATGGGGGTATGGCGTGGATGCTCAACATCATAGGGCTGGTTGGCGTGGGCCGGAGGGAGAGTGGTGGGTTGGGCGCCCGGAATTTCACATGAGGCAGAGCGTCGTAGTGTAATCAAATCACTGGTGGTCGCGGACGATCAGGTCGTTGCTTTGACATTGGTCGATGTAGGTTGTTGGGCACAACGTGGATCTCGTCCGAGCTGGTGTCGTCCACGGGAGGTGGTGGGCGAGATCTTGTCCTTGACCGAGGCGCCGGGTTTGAAGCTGCCGGTATTGGGCGGGGAGGTGCGCAGACGTGGTGGCCGGGGGGCTGGAGCGCGTAGGCTCTGTGGTTTGGGGAGCTGGGTCGAAGTCTGGGTGGGCGGGCCATTCAAAAGCGCCACAAAGTGGTTGTAGTGGAGCCAATATGTCAGGGCTTTGAGTATAGGTAGGCTCGATGCGGGATCGGAGGGAGCGGACATGGCAGGGTTGAGATCGGGCGCAGGAAATAAATGGCCGCGAGAACTGGAGCCTAGTAAAAACCGAGGGGGCGATGTAGCAACTGACAGGGGAAAAACCGCATGACAGGTCGCGCGGGGTTGGTGGGAACAGTACATGAGATGTGATTCCAGCGTGGGAAAGATGTTTGATTTCCTGGGAAGAGCCGGCAGAGGGTAATAGGTGAAACAGGGTGAGGCTAGGGTCTCTCAGGTGGTTCTTCAAGGTGCTCAGGCTCGTCAGTCGAAGTGGGCGCTCGAGAGTCATGTAGGTCCTGGAGCTTTCTCGTAGCAATCAATCCATGTTGATGGCGGCCTGGGTTGAAGGATGTTGGTCCTGATCCTCCGTGGCTTCAGGTTGAAGTGCTGGGATGAGCAGTATTGGTGGCCGGTGCTGGTGGCTGATCAGCGGCATCTTTGCCGGGGGGGAGGAGGAGGTGGTCGTCATGGGATGAAAGGATTCACAGGCTTCACAGGGGGTCCACCATAGTGGAGTGGAGCCGGGTAGCCCGTCGTCGGTGCCGGTGGTGGTTGCCTCGGAGAAGATCGTGAACTTCATCCAGAGATCTCCGAATAGGCTGCTGGGCGAACGGAGCTGGCGACATTGGCCACACAACAAGCCAAACGATCACATTGAGCATTGGGATCATGTAGTGTCGGTCTGGTCACCATAAAGAGGGTCGCAGGGGAAGAACACCCCTGAGGGAACACACGTCGTCTAGCTAGAAACGCTGCGGAATCAAAGGGGGAGGGGTTGGAGATAGCAACGAGAGAGAACCAGCGAAAATCTTTCTTCTGAGGTCAAGTCAAGGGGAGAGATTGGGGAGGGTAAGTGACAGGAGGTTGGTGTCTAAGTGGGAAATACGACTGCAGCAAGCGACGGATCGGACGAGCTTTTTCTCTCTGGGCGGCGAAGCTGTTAGAGAAAAAAGATTGAGGTGGCCTTGCGGCACATTGCCACGTAATGCCGCGGATGACGGCGTTGTTGGGGTGGATGATGAAACATTTGCCCTTGTCGCGCTTCACTGTCGCGCTTCACTGCACCATGTCCGGCGCGGAGTAGGCGTTCACCTTCGCGTTCTCCGCCTTGAAGAAACTATTTGCCCGTTCCCCATGCAATACAATGCAGGACGACGCCCGCTCTGTTCTTGTCGAGGTGGTAGGTCTTGTCGATGACCTGTGCAGTGTGCCACATGTCATGGGCGACGCTGCCGGAGGTTTCAAAACCCTGGGCGTAAAAGCCCGTGGCGTCAGAGTCATGCTGGGTACTCGGGCGGAAGCGACAAGTCTGCAGCAAATGGAGTAAGTTGCCTTCCTCTGTCGCCTGACATGCGAAAATGTGCAGAGTGCCGTGTGTATCTGTAGCTCGGCGGCGATTGGGAGGAGGAGTCAGTGCGATTCCCCCAGGATCTGGGTCTATGCACATGCTGCGCCCCTCGGTGGGGATCACACCACAGCCCGCAGTGGGAATCTGTGGCGACACACACACTTAGATGGATGCTCGCAAGAGCGAAGTCAGTGGTGGTCTCTCCGTGCATTAGCCCTTTAAATGAATACGCAGCACTTGACTTGATTCAACAGCATGGAGTGAAGAGTCCGCTCACTTGAATGTTTCAACAGGATGCATTAGCCCTTTCATTAAAAAATGCAGGTACGTGACTCCGGCGTCCCGGAGTCATATCACGACCGAACTATCACTGTCCTCGTTGGGCAGTGAGTGATAGTGGTCCACTACCCCCCTGCTGGTGCTCGTCGCTCCACTCGAAGTGAATTATGCAAATGAGACGTGAAACGCAAAACCTTGGAAACAGGTCACACACACTCACTCACTCACTCACTCACTCCCTCCCTCCCTCACTCGCTCTCTCGCTCGCAGTCTCAGTCTCAGTCTCAGTCTCAGTCTCAGTCTCACTCACACTCACACTCACTCTCACTCTCACTCTCACACTCACCACCACCGCCACCGTCACCACGATCCCCACCTTCATCACCACCATCACCTCTCTTGACCCCAATGCGTCTACATCCCTAGACTTTCTGCTTATATACCTCACACACACAGTTTGGGGTCTCTTGCCGGGATAATTTGGTTTTCCCAAGTTTTTTTCTTAAGTGTTTTTACTCCCTTATGCACACTTATCAGTGTTTTTGGTGGTTTTGATTGTACTTGTATAAAATTACCTAAAATTTATAGAAAACCCAAACCCAGGCCCCATGGCAAAGGGCTTTTCCATGTGCTAAAACCATACGTCTCGCCATGAAAAAAAGAGATGGTGCATTTTACACTCTAAATAACAGCGACGTCCTCACAAGCCATGGTGCCTCCGAGCAAAAAACACAATAGTCGAACGAAGTGCATCGAAACGCAAAAACGGAAACAAAGTTCGTTCCTGGCATGCAGGGAATGACGTCGACAACGCAGTTCATTACCCCACCCAGCCCACTGCACAAAACAAAGTAGGTGGCCCAAACACTGATGACCCCACGGGATCCTCTCCCCAATGCCAATACTAATTCCATGTCATTTTCTTTTGGGAAGCTGGGGATAAACTGATAAACTTCATTTAAGGTGTTTTCATGCGCGGGGGTCCACCATGTATTAATCAAAGGTGAACATTAGCTATATGCTGTCATCTCCACGTTGCGCACACGCTGCGTAGACGAAGTAATTGGGCCGGGCCACAACAAAGTGCCGAGCCCAGCATGCACCGAAGCATTGTAGCCAAATGATGAAGCAACACAGGATGAACTGGCAACGCTTCCGGAAACCACTTGCAAGACCGGCACAAATTTCCCGGCCAACTTGTTTGCGCTCTCAAGTAGAACTTTGAGCTACATGCAGCTTTGCTTGGAAGGTGCTTCTGTGTAAAACATGCAAACCCGAACTTCAAGTCTGAATTCCTTAACTCCATTAATTCAAATCTACGTCATCAAGTTAAGCATCGATTGCCATAGGCCAGGCTCTAGTTACCATGAGATGCGATAGAACCGTGAACCCAGCGGAAAAAATCATTACCCCTGCAGGTCAGCCAAAACCCTCGTCCAACACAATCTCGATATTAACGAGATGGACCAACGTTTTGACCAAGTGTGAAGAACGAGGTGTTTACTCTATCAGGAAGTTCCATGAAATTCCTATTGCCGATGCAGCACATGGCAGAAAGAGATAGAAGGAACATGAAGGAACAGTTTGCACATTGGCATGGATGGTTTCCGTAGTGTTGCTCCAAAGTCAGCCACAGTCAACAGGTTGCACGCTATTTGGCTGGTTCGAAGGTGAGGGAGTGGGAAGCTTACGCCGATGTCGCTTCGCTTCCAGCAGGCCATGGAGGAACGTGACAGCGAATGTGCTTTCTCTTGCTTACTATCAGTGGAGCCCCTTGGGCATGTCACCCAGGTGCCCTGCTATTCTAGTTTCCACTATCTCTCTACAGGTCACCGACACAAAGCACTGGTCCACGGTCGCTTCTACGTGGCTTCCAGATGGACAAAGGCAAAACAGCATGGCCGGTCCGATGGGCAGTATAGCTTGAAGCTCTATCAGGGCTAGTTGCCGGATAATCTGCTGAACGACATGAAGAAGCGATAGTGATTGGCTTAGCAAGTTTAGCTGTGCCACGACGTTTCCGGAGAGTTGATGGACTGGTGGCAAGGAGCACCAGGGTGCATCGTCAAACGTCGTTGCTCGACCTTCTCCCTGTTCGTGCTGACTGGTTGATGGGGATCCATCGCCCCGTTGCATCGCCCCGTTCAGGTAAATTTGTTGTTTCACAGCGCCTCTGGTTGGGTGTGCTGCCTGCCCGAAGGAGCCCAAACGGGCATACCTCAGCGGCGAAGCCCTTTAACTAGGGAGTTCGTTGCTAGGCGCTGCACTTAATTGTTCCGTGCTCTCCTGGAAAGTGGAAAGACTATTGTGTGCAACATGCTAGCTGCATGTAGGCTTTTCTAATCATATGCCCGTTTGGTGATATTGGACGATACAATGGTTTCCTGTGGTTCCTGTGGTGATGAGTTCAACCAACTGATTCACATACAAACATGCAGCAGGGGGTGTAGCGTGCTTGGTTAACTATGCCCAACGAAGCGAGTCCGGACACAGGATACTGGGATTGGCCATCTTGGCGAACCTGCAACATGTTCCACTTCCATTGTGTGGCAAGCTCCTAAGCGCAGAACCCCACGAATCGTTTCACATGATAGAATCCATTAGATTCCACTGCTGGTATGCGGTATGCTGCTAAGCCAAGAACTTCAAGTGCACATGTCATGCACTTCCAGATCGCTTCGGTTAGGCTCGAAGACTTCCCCAAAATCTAGGAACCTTGGGAATCGTTTAACTGGGAATCGTTTCACCTCTATATAGTAACAAGAAGCTATTAGTTAAGTTTCCCTAAAAATCTAGCAACCACATAGACAATGCGAGTGCTTCTTCCAGGAAAGTCCCCGCGCTGCCTTTAGGCTTCCTTGACGAAGCGTGAGCTTTCCTGCATCCGATTGCTAGTAGCCACCTGTTGCTGGTAGTTTAGCTCCTTTGCTTGCTTAGCGGCCTACCTCCCCCCAGAAAGAAAAGACACATTATCTTAACTGTTTAAAGTATAAATTTACAGTTCTCGCTGTTTCGACGCTTTCAGTTCACTCCTCATCTCCAGATGGTCGATATGTGTACAAGTACTTTGTGGAAAACAGCGCGAGCGGAGGGTTGAAGCAAAGTGTAATGTAATGGGCACCAGCTTGCGCTTCTTACGCTGGACTAGCAAACCAGCTCTTTTCTATAACCGGGCGGAATCTGGACAGACTGCGAGATGGAGGAAACCTACGTAAAGGAGGAAAACGACTCTTAAATAATCCAACTAATGCGTTAACATGCACCCGGACAGCACCATGTTGGTCATAAATCAGTTTGCCTGTTGCAGTTGCAGTATAATTGCATGTTGTTTGAGGCAGTTTAGAACTCAAGCAATGTGACAACAAAAGCACTGGGAGAACTCTTGCCGGGCTGACACCACCAAACTGAGCACCAACTGATGCTGAGAAGACGCTTGTCCTCACAGCAATCAGTTGGCATAGCTATCATAACTGTTGAGGCTATTTCCTGTGATGTAGCTGCTATGACTAAGCATGAAATCAAATCCGTCACTTCATAGTGGGGCCACTGCATCATCAATTCACCAAAAGCATCTGCGCCGCAAAAGGCTGTAAACCATTGGACAATGGAGCACCAGGCCTCAGACTTTGCACAAAAAGAGCTGTGCAAGGAGACTTCCATGTTGACGAGAAAGTCAAACAGAAAGCTGCTAGTCAGCATTGGCCAAAGCCCTGACTTCTCTTGATTCATCATCTACGCCACGGCGAAGAAGTATGACAGGGCCCTGCAGGTTGGTGCTGTCCAAAGTTTTGAACTGGTTTGTGCTGTCACCTTCCAGATTCTGATGGCTTTCACCCTTTGCGTGTCCAGCTAAGCATGATACAAGGATCCAAACCACCACATAGCGAGTCCAGCTCAAGGCAACACCAGCTGGGGTGCCATCCAAAGTATGTCCGGCCTCAGATCTGCATGATCTGCTTCCGATTTTGTGCTTTGGCGAAGCGGCAACAAGTGGCAACTGCGCGTTGCAACGCTTCTCATGTCCAGAAGTGAGAGAAGAACAGTCTGCTGATAGCATGTCGTACAAAGAATCCAAGCAGCCATGAGGATCCAAAGAGACTTTGTCGACATGAATAAAAGCATGCTGATAAAAATGGCAACAGAGCTGTGCAAAGTCGACCAAGAAAGTCGCTTCACCTTGGAGACCCAAATGCTGGCCAAACAAAAACATGGAGAAGAACTAGATTGAACATGAAGGTAAGGCCAGGCTCGTTTTATACGGCCCCCATGTTTCAAGGCGCTTACCTTCTTCTTGTTCCTCTCTGTTCTCTCTAGATTAAACACGTCTGAGCATCAAACATTGACATCTTTGTGATTCAGCAAGTACAACATCATCCTGGACTCATGCAACAAACATAATATCCACAAACGGGACCACACATGCATCACATCCTCACTCAGCGAATCAAACTCGTCAAGCAGTTTAACCATGACTATCGCCAGCTACACTGTAGGCACCCGGCAAGAAAAACGTAAATTCGGAGATCACCAGCAGTGCAGATGCTGTTGAAGCCGAAGCCTTCAAGACTAAGGATATTGAGGTAGAAATGAAGTCAAAATAAGTGGCCTGTTCTGCTACAAGAGCAGTCTGCAAGCCTGCCCTCAGTCAGATCTGCCGAAGTGACATCAATAGAATGATTCTATACCATGAGCTGGAAAACAAGGTTTGCTGCACCAGACCAGAGAATCCATGCATAGAGTAAAGTGTTCAAACATTTCTACCAAGGTGCAGGGTGCCGGACTTGTGAGTTTCGGCAGAGAGCATTGCCTGAGCAGCTGAGCAGCTTGTTACATTGCCAACAACACCCATGCCGCGCATGCCACCCATGCCTTGGCCAAAGCAGGTGATACCTTTGGATCCCCAAAGACGGCCTGCAACTAAGCAACATGCTTTCAGAGTCGAGTCTGAATTGTGTCACCAAACGCAGCCTGCGGCGCTTGGTTTTCACCTGTGGAGAACTTTGAGCAGGATGGACGAAAGTGTTTTTCATCAATGAACATGTTGAACCCTTCTATGTACCCTTATATAAATGGGCACCCTATATGTAGCATAAATACTACATGTTCAAGCACTTTGCCAAAAAGGTCCAGATTGGATGTTTTTATAGGGTTTGGGCACCAGTAATTACTCCAAACGCACCAGTTTTGACATGCATCCTCTTGCCTGGACACTTTTGAGAATAAGGAAACCATTGAGCAAAGCTCCCTTTTCTGAAACCTTGCTGGTCCCAAGACCGTCTCATCATAGATCAACTTGGACGCTTTGGTGGGGGGGGTCTCCTTCGTCTTAGTTTTCTTTTGTTTGCGTTTCTGTTTCTTCTTTGCTTTCTTGTTTTTTTGATGTTTGGGCGTCTTTGTCCCTTTCCTCTGTGTGATTCTGCGGGTTTGCGCGCTTTCGTGGTCGCCTTTGCAGACTTTTGGGAGACACCTTTTTGGGTGAAGCTTTGTGCTTTAGCCCGAGGGGGGATCAAAGTCGCGGAGCGGAGGGAGGAGATGACAATCATTCCTTAAGCCTCCTTTTTTTTGGGAAGCCGTGTCGTCGAAAGGATGCTAAATAAAGCATGGAGTTGACGACCACTCGTTGTTTTATGAAGAATAGCACCGAGCAAAGAATCCGCCAAATAACCAAAGACAAAGACAGAAGTATCCAAGCTATGCTCCAATCCTATGTTCGCAACCCCGCCTCCCCAAAACCCACACACATTACAAAACATGCGCATTCCTTTCAAGAGCAAAAAAAAATCTGTCAACCTGTAAATTTTGAAGCGTTCCTCGTCCAAATTCCTACGAGTAGGGCCCAAACGCAGCTCTTCAAGCTCCATTGCGGCTCCATCCTGCAAATTGTGTTTGTTTATTCTTGTTGTTGTTTGTGTGTAAGAAGAAAAGTGCACAAACAATTGTCGTCTTCGGCTTGACATTTCTGCTTGCATGGATGCCTGTCGCCGGATCCACGGTTTGAAGCCTCTCTTGTCGTCCATGTGAACCTTCACTTTAAAGGGTTTCAACCATTAAAAAACAAGGTCCTTGAAGCCTCTCCCAGAATGAAACATGCTATCTGGCCTTGCCGTCCGCAGCGAAGACCGCAGATTGGGTTTCGCCTAGACACAACACAGCCCTCGCACGCATTTGCATGCCCTTGGCTGGATTTTCAGAAGTCATTCATATCCGAAGAAACGTGTAAGCCGCCGAAACAATTGCTTAAACAAAAACGGCAGGGGTGCAGGCAGTTCTATATGATATTCTCAAAGGAAGGCGGTTAGCATGCTTGCATCGGCTGTGACAGGGCTGTGTTGTGCGCTTTTAAGTGGCCTGATCTACTCTTCCACCATGTCGCATCATGAACTTGGGCAGCCAGTTACGAGTAGCTGCTTCATCAAGGAAATACGGTCAAGCATGTCAGAGCTTGGGCAGCTTGGGCTTATTCAAACAAGAAAACACGACACTTTCAGTTCTATTTTTTGACGAAATCATACCACTGATATTATCGGCTCGAACAAAAGGGTACCCTGTGAGTGAGTGAAACACATCGAGGCGCACTGAAGTGGAAAAAAGAGACTCCGCTACTGTCTTACTGCCTTGGGCTTTGTTGGTGGCAGGCATAAAGTTCAAATCAGTTCAAGCAGCGTCACTAAGATCTGCTATTCGTCAGCCCACTGCAGCCGCTTCGTCGGTGGAGCCACTGTCCACTTGGAGAGAACCAAAAATGCGAGTGATCCGGCGATCCGGCTCTAAGTTCAGTCGCTGGAGGTGCACTGAAGTGAAAACAAATACTGTATATTAAATATAGACTATACCAAAGTCTGACTGATGCATCTGACGCTTGACTGTCACTTGGCTGTGCCCGGCTGAGGCATTTGCAGTAGAAGGTGGGCAACAAAGGAAACCTGTTCACCCCAATTCGCTGAACAAAATTGAAACAATGAGTGAACCAAACGAACACTTATAACTTCCATGACTGGCGATTTGGTGTCTCCAGTGCAATTTGATCAATTTGAGGCGAGCACAGCCACAGGAACGAACCTCTGAGCTAAACAGAACTTAATTGCACAGTGACAAGTGGCAATGTGCACAACAATTCTCAAAGCAAGCACAGAAAAGAAACAAACAAACACCTTTGTCAAACAGAACAGAACTTGTTGACAATCAGGTGCGGCAACAAAGCACCGCACGCCAATGCATTATCATGGATACCTGCACAAAAAGAGGAGTTGAAGGAGCGGCATGAATTGATGGAATTCAAGTGTCACCAGCCTGGATATGGAGACAAGTGAATTGGCCAAAATGATGTGATTGGTGAAAAGTGGATTCATTAGAATCGGCACCCTGTTTGAACCAAAGCAATTCAAAGTTGCACATAATCAGGTATGACTCGGTATGACAGTCTCACACTCCCCACAAGCTAAATAATTGACTTCCCCGATTCGGCCACGTGTTTTGCGCAGTCCACAGTCTTGCAACTACAGCATACGTCTCGCGCTGCTTGCTGCTGATCTTCATGCTGGCTCTCTCAGGCTATCCCTGCGATTCAGAATCAAGACTTCAAATTGTCGCGACATCATTTGCACAGATATTGAACTACCAAAAACAAGAACCTTCATCATATTGAAATATTGATGCACGCTGCAAACGCCGCATGTCCAATCTCCTGTCTTGGAATGGTTGAGCTGCGGACGCAATATTATATGACTGCCGCTCTGGGAATCCACAATGCCACTCATCTGCCCAACATCAAGAGCAAAGGAGGCATCCTGGCTAAGTGCATCACATCGTTGGGCTCATTGGAGGCCATCGCTAGTAGGTTGCTGGCCCATTGCTAGTAGGTTGGATGCCATTGCTAGTAGGAACAACGCATGAGTTTGGTTCCATTCTTTTAACCAAAATTTCACTAGCAGCTAGCTAGGCTATAGCTCAAGCGAGGCTGGACACTTTGAGAGGTGTTGTAGGTGTGATGATGTGCAATGAGTGTGAGCAAGTCTGGCCACAGCCGGCTCCTCAAACTCCTTTTGCATCTCACTTGGCCCGAAGAATCCCAAGTCACCACCCTGCACAGGAAGCTTCAACGTCCTTTCTTGAAACAAATCAGGCACCAACAATGGCAAGTGAATTGAACACTAGATTGCTCCCTTATGCTCTCATCTTTCGATTCTTCTCTTTGATTAAAATCATCTCTGGCCTGAGCAAAGGAACCGCAATCGCTGCGAAGTTGCGCTTCTTTGGCGAAGGCATCCACCAACTCCTTTCCACTTCCCGGTCTCAAGACTTGCGGTTTTGAAATAGTACCATTAGCTCAATAAAACTCACACGGATGGCCTGCCTTTATGCGCGCTATGAAGATCTATCAAGCACGTATATAATGCGAAGGTCGGCTTTCATGACCTTTGTTTTCTAGGCTTTCATACAGCAGTCTATGCAAGAGGTCTCCTGGCCCGATTTGCCTTCGAGCCTCCCCAGAATTGCTTTTAGCTCTCCGTGTGCAGATTCCACAGACACCTTGGAAATTGCACGGCACGAAGTACCAAAAAGGGAAAGAACTTTATTAGAGGAAAAACCAGGTCTCCTTCATTGTGATCCCGGAAGAAAGTCTTGTCCAAGTCATTCCAAGTCTACAGTCAAACCTGAAAGCCGAGAATCCAAGCAAACAATCTAAGGAACCTACACCTGCTGTTGATTCCTTGGTCCGCCTCGAGACAGGATTTCGCGACTTCTCGTGCTTGCACCTGGCATTCCACGAGCAAGTCCAAAAAGCTCGATGGTAATGATGCACTTGCAACTGCAGCAGCAGGAAAACAGCATTCTGCAGCGCTTTCCTTTTACAATGATTGTGCAACAATAATTGCCGGAGCCACAGCAAGTGCAGCACCCGTACTTTGCCTTCCTCAGATCCAACTCAAGGATATCGAAGCGTCGAAGTCTAGGACCAAGTAATTGATCAAAGAAACTCAATGGAACTGGGGCCTTGGGGCCCAGCGGCCATGACACTGCTATGACTTGTGCATTCAGAGTGTTTCGCCCTACCCTGGAACCAGAGTGACCGTGCGGAGCAAGGCGCACAGCTCTTGGATGCGGAATGAAAAGCAACGCGTGGTTGCTTGTGGGGCCTAAAGTGCGTCTGTGTGCGTTTGCTCGGCCAAGTAGATACTTTTTGACCCCAAGCTTCGCATGACCTGCCAGTCCTGCCAATTATTGGGCCAGTGCGAAATGAACACTGCTGAACACTGCTGAACACAAAACATCCGCTTTGACAAGGAGACGCACACTGGCCCTTCCCTCAGCAGCAGGTGGCACATTCCTCTGTACGAGTCTAGGTAAGTGAAACCTGAGTTTCCATGAATATGCATGGTTCTACTGGCCTCAGAAGCCTCTCAGCTCTGCTCCACAAGAACTCTCATCGCAATTAATCCTGCCATTACATTGCGATCTTGCAAGCAGAATGCGTCAGGGGTTGAAGGCCTCAACCCCCAAGAGTGTTAGGTTCACTTGCACCCCAGCTGAACTCAGCCAGAAGAAATGCTTGCCCTTCCGGAAAGTTCGTCTGAAAATTCAGCATGCCGGGATCGCAAGTTGCAAGGTATCCTTCAGTGTAGCCTGAGAGAGCTGCTACAGGGGCTACACCTCGGAAAAAGATTCCACTTGGTTGCGGAAAGGCACCTGTGCCTGGCTGTGGCACTGAAACTTCGTGCCCGAGAATCTCGAACATGGCGGAGTGAAGACCCAAAAGCACAGGCACAAGTCCAGCAGATGAAGTCCCACCAACAAGGGACAGGTCTGCACAAACCACCACAGGCAAGCAATCGTCCCGAAGAAAGTCACCAAAGCTGGCGTCGCAGCAGTGCTCAAGGCTCGGCCTGATGCCAGCCACTCGGACAACCTTCTCTTTTGACTTTAGATCCACGGCCAGGAAGGAACCACTCTCGTGACTTCCACAGAAAGTCCAAAGGCCTCTGTCCCAAATGATCGTGGTGGCTTCGGTATCCCCCTGTGCGCAGCATCTACCATGCCCCTTCCCGGTAAGGGTAGCTGCCACTTCCGGATTGGTTGAATCCAAGCCATGAAGACATGCTACTCCACCTTTCAACCTTATTTGGTCCAGCTGTACTGACATGCAGAACCTTTGAGATGTAATGGTGAAGTGGCTGGAAGATCTGGAAGTCTGTTTTCGAATAAGTCTGCGAAGCTCAGGTGGCTCCTTGAAGCTCCACTTTGTCCCAGTGTGGTCCCAGCTGAGATTCAGCTTGCATTGCTTTGGAAGTTTCAGCAAAACCTCAGGCGGGAGCCTCTGCAGCAACGCACAGAGTCTGGTGTCCAACAAAGCCAGATCCGAACAGCTGAAACAGACCTTTTTCAAGTCACGTTGAAGCCAAGGGCCAGATCCATGAACTTCTCCTAGTTGATGTTCGATGATCTTCATCAAGTCTGATGTCTGCAAAACTGAAGGTTGCATCAAAATCCTGAGCAAGCAAGAAGTCAGCTTCAGCAAACGCCCTTCAGCCAAATCTTCCACCGTGTCATCGTCTACCACCTCGTCTTTTGGAGAAGACTCTGATGCAGTCAAATAAGTTGACAGAGTAGATAGCTCCCAGACATTGTCCATGCCCAGCGGACCGGATATCTCATCCAATGCTGTTCCGTGCATCTCCATAGAGCAAAGCATTGGTGGCATAGGCATAGGCACAGGCATAGATGGAACCCAAAACTTGTGGTTCACCGATGGTATAAACGGAGGCATGACGCAAGATCCAGGCATGAACTCCATAGCGTCTGCATTCATCTGACTTTGCTGGTGCACGTTCTTGGGAAAGTCATCGGGCCAACTGCTTTTCTGATGGGTTTGCTGAGTCTGAGAGTGGTGCCTGGGATGCCTCGGTTTTTCAGGAGTCTCTGCAAGAGTAGTAGTCACTCCGCTTATCATCTTCCGAGTGCTTTGTCGCGGCGGAGTATGCATCCCCTGGCAAGGTGCTCGGATACAGTTTTATTGAAGTGTTTGAAATGCGGTATTTTTCGTTGGAACATTATTATTGCAAAATTGCATTTTTGTTTGCTGATTGAAGTTTCTGGGGATTGCCTTAGCATGGTCCGGATTCGTAGCTGCCTCGTGCCAACAAATTCATCCTCGACTTTCATGGAATGCGCTTGGCACGAAGTCTTAGGCAAGAGCAACTTTTTTTGGTAGCCAAGGGCTCACAGCCCACCACCCTTAGCTAAATCATATGACGTGCACGCAAAACTTAACCAGGATATGTAAGCACGACCCTGCTCTGAAAACAACCTAGGGCAAGCGCAAGTCACGTTGGCTCTGTAACAATTCGTGCACAGTGCGCGTTTTGGGTAGGATCTCGGCCTGTCCCAGGACGAACTCGCATGACGGTCACGATATGGCCATGAATCATTCTACATTGTCCGTTGTCCGTCTGAGACCAGTTCCTCTGAACAACTGCCAGCACGGCGCGCAGCAAGAAGTTGTCTTCTGTCGCATGCCTCAGATTGAATTTTGGCATGCGTCTGTGCACAAGTGTGTGTGTGTGTGTGTAACCCTTGGAGTCACAGGGTGTCCTTGGACGCTTGTGCCGTAGCTGGGAACACCGTCGTCTTCTCCTTCTGTTCTCTCTTCTCTCCCTACCCCTCCCTTCCTCGCGCACAGTGCACTTACACTCAAAAGTGGTCTTTGCAATAGGATAGGTTCTTAATGAGGTTTGGCTTTCATCGGTTTCTGTCCCCTTCATTTGGTTCCCCTTTTCTCATCGTGTTTCCCCTTCACACACCTTCTTTCTCTTCTTTTCCTTCGTGTCTTCCCTTGCTTCATGTCCCGTCACCTCATCTCTTTCCTTCGTTTGCGTACACACGGCTCGGCCCTTAGTATGTACACGCACAGCCTACTTTCAACTCAGGTATCAGGTCGCCCAGGTCTTTTCGATGAGGTGGGTTGTCATCGGTTGTCCCTGTGCACTTGGTTCCTTTTCATTGCAACCACACACACACACACACCTTTGCCCCGTCTTGTCTCCTTTTCATGTCTTCGCTCTTTTGTCTTACTGCGCGCACACTAACGCATTTGCCCTGACCTTAGTGCTTCTCGCCTCCCCTCGAGGGGGGCGTGTGTGTGTGTGTGTGCGTCAACCCCTGTTCCTAAGGGTACCGCGTCTCTTTCTGTTTCCATCGCGAAAGCAGGGGGCAATGCACGACTGACAGACATTGCCCAACGAAGACGCTGTCAGATCGTGGTGAAGCAACGCGGGACGCCGCATTGTGTACCTGCTCAATGAACTTTTGCACACGCCGTGACTCTACTTTTCTCGGTTTGATTCATGGTTTTTCCTCGTGATACCTTCCCCTAAACCTTTTCTCTGCACTGAGTTCACCGCGGCCGAGTTCTGCAGTCATGCGTCAAACTTTGTTCAACAATACAATTGCGCCGACTTTTTCACCTTGCGTTTCCCTCCTTCGTTTTCTCCTGGGAATTGAGCTAACTGAAAACCAATGTCAGAGTGTGAACCGCTCAGCCGTCCCACTTGGGTGCTGGGTGTGATCCTCCGCAGGGAGGCGCTGCTTTCATACCGGAAATCGTTTTCCTGAATTATCGTCCTTTCATCGTGGATCACTTTCACTACTTCCATGTCAATACTGAATTAACAGGATTAAAGGCCGCCGGGCTTTTTACGGAGTTATGGACTTCTGCCCAATCGGATTTCTGCACTTTCGGATTTCATAGCGACATGCATGAAAGAGTTACTCCTTCGAATTCATTGCAGCAGCACTTTCAATTTCAAGGATGTACCAAAACCTTTCGCCTTCCACCATGTACAGGACATGACATTTCACTTTTCCACCATGAATCACCTGTTTCACGCTCTTCATCCTCCATCTCATTTTCAGGTATGACATTCCACTACTTCACCATCTCACGATTTCACTCCACGGGTACAAGTACAGGAGACTTCCAGCAGCTGCCGCGCCGTGCTGGTGCCATTGAGCAGCCGTCACCTTTGAAGCTATAACATTTTGAGTGGAACTTCGACTATCACCAACATCGAGCCAATGCAGTATCCATGGCCATACCCATACTGGACTCATCAACCACCACCTACCACAGCCCACACATTTCCCATCCAACAGACGCAACCACACATATACCTCCCATGATTCCACACATACCACCTACATTGCCGCCTATGCCACAGCCAACATGGCAACCCACACTTCCAACCACCACCACAGCTAGTACCTCAGCTACCGCATCACCACACGATTCCATTTTCCTACTCACTACCTCCGCCGGAATCTTCACCATCACAACCTCCTACCATGATTTCCCCACAACCACACCACCACCAGCGCCTCACACCCAACCAGCTCCACCGCAAACATGCCAACCAGCACCAATGCAATGGGACTATAGCCAGGGAGTCTGGCAACCCTTTTCGGTTTTTCCGCCAGTCACTCAACCGGGTCATGCTCCACCAGGCCCAATTCAGCCAAGCCAGACTCCCGCGGCCGCCAATTCACGTCCTCCTCACCCTTTGCCTGCTGCAGCACCACCATTACTTCCCACCGCAGCCACTCCTGGCCTTGAATCGCCAACCTCTACAGCACCCTCAACACAAGCAGACCGCCCTGGCCCTACCACTGAGCAAACCTCTCCAAATCCTCTTTCGCACCCACCACCACCTTCTGCCGCAGCAGCTTCCAATCCATCCGACAATCCTATGGGCACACACAACTCCGATCCACCACCAGCTCGCCCACAGACCACCGCAACACACCAACTTCCAGCATCCAACGCTCTCAATCACCAAAGCAGCAGCCACCGCCAACCTCATCGTCGCCGCCATCGCCATCACACTCGCGGTAGGCGCACTCGTCGCCGCAGCACCACACGCTCAACAACCCAACAAGATGCCTCTCACGGACATCAATCAACACGACACCACCGCCCGCGCTCACCTTCCTCCACCTACTCCACCTACTCCTACAGCCGCT